ATAGATAGATAGATAGATAGATAGATAGATAGATAGATAGATAGATAGATTGATAGATAGATAGAAAGATAGATAGATAGATAGATAAATAGATTGATAGATTGGAAGAAAAGTTATATTCCTGGCTTGACCCAGTCGGAGATGGCGGTTAAATTCGGAGGTTCCGCCTCTTAAATAACCCTACAGCGTTGAAAGGGGCGGTTAACCTTAACAATGACCTATGACCACCAGACAGGCTATCATAAACTCTTGAAGGAGAAATCAATTCTTTCAACGATACCGTCAGGTAAAGGATGAAGAAAACATTTTGCCAGAATTTATAGTGGAAACATAAAAATGTTCTCAGAAAAGTCGTTCTGACAAAGCAAATTGTGCCTCCAATGTATTACAATGTGAGTTTTTAATAAACTAGTAAAAGAGGCGATTACATCGTGTATCCCTAGACTGGAAACCTAACAATAATCAGGGAAGTTGTTTGTTTCTTTTCCGCCACTATGACATATAGAGTGAACGGCACAACCATGTCATAAGTGAAGGTAATGGGTGCATCTGAAATTCCCTTTTATTTATTATAAAGTTATGTTCTTTGTCACCTCAAATTTCTGTCTTCAAAAAACATTTCCTTTAAGCCAAAGACTGAAGTCAGAGTCTGAACTTGGACATACGATGGAGAATTCAATTAGAAAGAGGAAGCTGTACTTGCCTTTACAATTTCAGTGGATGACCTCAAACGTTTGGTGTTCATCATCATCATCATCATCATCATCATCATCACCATCACCATCACCATCATCATCATCATCATCATCATCATCATCATCACCATCATCATCATCATCATCATCATCATCATCAGCATCGTCATCATCATCATCATCAGCATCGTCATCATCATCATTTCTCACCCTGTGCCGGAGTACAGGCCACCAACATCCAAAAAGTGAGCTCTCTATTTACTATTTCCCTGGGGAATCTTAATACCCCCTCAACGAAGTTTCGTCATTCCTGTCTTTCTCTTTCCTTGTGGATACCATCGTAAAACTCCATGGGAAATCTTCATCTTCCTTTTATTTTA